GGTCTCGACAGGGTTAAACCGGAACATCTGAAGAACGCACCGCCAGTTATCATCAAAACTCTGGCTCGACTCTTCACGCGCTACCTGTCGGAATGCAAGGTACCCACTCCGTGGAAAACCAGCAGGACCGTGTTGCTGTACAAGAAGGGAGACTTGGACGACATTGGCAACTATCGCCCAATCTGCCTGCTGTCTGTAATCTACAAGCTATTCACTCGAGTCATCCTTAACAGGATCGGCAGAATACTAGATGAAGGACAGCCATGCGAGCAAGCAGGGTTCCGAAGAGGGTTCAGCACGATCGACCATATCCACACGGTTACAAGACTCATTGAAGTTTCACGAGAGTACAAGATGCCGCTTTGTCTCACGTTCATCGACTTGAAGAAGGCCTTCGACTCTGTGGAGACAGAAGCGGTCATCGAAGCCTTGGGCAACCAGGGCGTCCCTACTCAGTACATAAGGATTCTTCGTGAGGCCGATGTCAGACTTTGCGAATCGCGCGATTCGCTAGCGTCTGCGGTCGCGTCGCGGCCAGTGAATCACTCAATTGGCTGGTACCGCAACGCGACCGCGGACGCTAGCGAATCGCGCGATTCGCAAAGTCTGACATCATCGACGTCAAGAGAGGGGTTCGACAGGGCGACACCATCTCGCCCAAACTCTTCAGCGCCGCTCTCGAGAACGTCATGCGTCAACTGGAATGGGAAGACATGGGAGTGAAGGTCGACGGCCGGCAACTACACCACCTTCGTTTTGCTGACGACATCGTTCTTATAACGCCGAACATCGAGCAAGCGGAGCGAATGCTGGCTGATTTCGACTGCGCCTGTGGTAAGGTTGGTCTGCAGCTGAACCTAACGAAGACGATGTTTATGAGAAACGGATTGGTTCCTGATGCCCCATTCACGCTCAACGGAACGAACATCACCGAATGCTCCAGCTACGTGTACCTAGGTCGGGAAATCAATATGATGAACGATCTAGCTCCAGAGCTGAGCAGGAGGAAACGAGCGGCTTGGGGAGCGTATAAGAACATCGAGGGAGTAGTGAAGAAGACGAAGAACATCCGGCTCCGTGCCCACCTCTTCGATTCCGCTGTCCTTCCTGCCCTAACCTACGCCTCAGAGACTTGGACTCTGCGCAGGCAGGACGAGCATGCGGTCAGCGTTATCCAACGCGCTGTCGAGAGGACGATGCTAGGAGTAACCCTATACACGCAAGTGCAGAGGGGAATCCGGAGTGCCGAACTACGCCAACGATCGAAGATCAGGGACGCTGCCGTTTTCGCCAAGGAATCGAAGATAAGGTGGGCCGGACACGTCATGCGATTTTGCGATGACCGTTGGACCAGAGCGGTTACCGACTGGATCCCTCGGGACGTCAAACGAACACCTGGACGACCGCCGGCCCGATGGTCAGACTTCTTCACGAAAGGAATGATGGACTTCGTGTCCCTCGAGCAAGGAGGATCCACTGGACCACTCTAGCACGCGACAGGGACGAATGGAGACGTTGCTGGCGCCCGCTCGAGCAAATCGACGACCAACGGTACGAGAGGTGATACAGGTGATAAGAACAAGAGGATTTGGCTAAATTCGGCATGGGTTTTTTACCCCATTTTTTTAACTCCAGATATCCACATTTTTATTATGACCAGTCATAAGCAGTAGATGTGCTGGAAATACGAGTATTTATATTGGAAAAACGAGTATTTATATACAAAGAAGGAGAACATTTGAACAGCCATTATTAGAAAAACTTCACAAGTCGACAATTTGAAAGGGATCGAAGAACCAAATTCCATCAAATACAAGATTAAAAGATACTAGTATGAGACTATGGCGTGTATTCACGGAAGAAAAAACGAGCACAATCACGATGAAGTGAAAACTCTCCCTTCAGCGATAATACCTCATGAAAAACCTTGGAAGACTAAAAATGCTCATCATCTCACTCGGAATAACATCCTGCCCAGCAATTGTCAACATAGAAGGAACTTCCGTAAAACCAGAGAAAAACTAAGTTAAGTAAAAATGAAGTTCACATCTACATGTTTCGAAGAGCGGCAAGACGTTGAGTAAGATCCGAGTCATCAGCAACGGATTGCGCTGCGGCGGGCACGGTAGTTGGCACGTTTGATGGCAGCTCGGCGTTGAGTTCAATGCTGAAAGCATTCAATTCATGAAAATGAACTATCATGAAACCCGCAATAGCACGTTACATGATCATGAAATTTCTACCTTATACAACTTAGGCTGGTGTCAGAGTCCGCGATCCGTCGCAGGTTTCGCTGATTTTCGCGAAAACGCGAAACCTGCGACGGATCGCAAAAATTGCAAGTGCCCCATTTGAACATTTGAAACACTGAATATGAAACAAGTGGAATCATGAGCAGTCGTCATTCAGCCATCACTATCAAGCAGAAGTTGCGGCGCGCGTGAACCGCGCAAATCGCGAAAATCAGCGGATCGCGGACTCTGACACCAGCCTTTCTGAGTTGTACCTGTACTATATTGTATTTACCAGAAGAAAGCAAGGAATAATCACATTAAATAGAATTTCAGTAGTAAAGGACGCAACCAAGCACGACAGATGGACAAGCAAAATAACTTGGTGTGCCATGCCTTCCCATCCACTCCTATCTTGGTAGACTTGGAAAGACACAATCAGCTGTGTACTTCAGACCAAGAAGTATAAAAATTACCTCTCCTCCAAACAACGTGGAATTCCAAGCAAAAAAATCGAGAATGTATTGGATTAATTGGTTTTTAAAAAGCAGAAGCATGAAAAGTCAAAAAAAAAACGCGAAAGATTGGGCGTGAAAAAAGCAAGTGGATTGTGTGAACTGCAGCACGTACCCAGCTTTGTCGGCCGCCTCAGCAATAAGAGCATCCACTTGCGATTTGGGAGCATTAAGCACCGTAGTACCATCCATGGTGCGCTCCATGGTTGCGGTATGAACGTCAAGATTTTCAAAGTCGCGCTCGAAACGATCCATAAGCTGTTGTACCTGGAAGAAGGCTATTAGCGTCACTCTAAAGTCGAGAGTAAAATCCGACAACTGCACTTCTGCTTGGCGCAAAGGAAAAAAGTGCAAACGTTAAAAAATGAAGAAAATTGCTCACCTTCTCGAGGTTCATCGTCTTCATTGCACTTTCCATAGCCTTAACAACACCACTCATGCTACTAGTCACTCGCTTCTGAAAAAAAAAACATGAACCCATCAACTCAACAGAACCGTCCTTGGTCTACGAAAACACTAGCACGTTACAGCTCTAAAAAGTCCCAGTTCAAAATTTGCGATGTGTGCTACTCGATCCCTACTGTCGGGATGATGAACCCATAAAACGGCAAGTGCCAAACTTCAACAATAGTTATTATAGAGACTGAAATTGTTACCATCCTATTCGAAAATAGGGCAGAGAAAAGAAAATCAAAAAGAACCTGTGTGGCAGCAGTTTGCACTCGAGCAGCAACTGCGTCTATCCGGGCTGCCATGCGGATGTAATTCACCGCTTCATTCTTCTTCCGAATAGCATTTTCTGCATGAACTTGTGCGACTTCCTTATTGCCTTTCTAAAAAGGGGGAATATTAGAAGATGAGAAAAGAACGTGAGAGGTGAAAAGCGCGGTGCTAACTTAGTTGGGGGGGGGCACGCGGCGGCGCGGCAGTCTGCTCGCCTGGCATGTTCGGAAATCCGTGGGCCAGGGGGAGTGTAGGCAGTCTAGGGGGGGGGGTGGGGGCAGTCACTTGACATGCGTGAAAAGCTGGAATGTTCGAGTTTACACTGTCTCGCTCGAGAGAGCCCAGGTGAGCAGACTGCCGCGCCGCCGCGTGCCCCCCCCCAACTAAGTTAGCACCCAAAGCGACGTACAGCATCGTATAACGAAAAATGGCGCTATCACAGGATATCTAGGCAGCTAGACAAATGACATCGCTTGCCATTTTAAGTCTATTCCAGCGAAGAGGGGCTATGCAGTAGAGAGCCACCAACGCGCTGGTGATCACGGCAAGCATTTTCATTCATTATGAGCGTTCAATAACGAGCCTTACAGGAATAGAGATACTTCGGGATGTGCAAGCAATATTCATTTCCCGCCCCCAAGCTCCTCTTCCCCTAAGGCTTACTCTTACAAATCCTCGGGCAGTAGCACACATCTGCTTTACGCGTCATCCAGTACAAAAACCGCGCAGCATCTCAAGAAAATTAGGTTAAAGAATGAGCTAGGGGGCGTTAGGTAACCTAAATGACTTCTCTAGCTTACCTGGAACTAGAGCAGTTCGTGGATTACGGTGCCCACTCCATCCACACCACAGGAATAAAGCGTTACCTTCAATTTTCAAAAGTTCGCCTAATTTCTCCCAAGACATATACTACAACTGGCGGAAGCAACCCATACCCCTCTGTGAGCACCCATATAAACAAACAGGAAGTAGCGTTCACCAGTTAAAACAGCAGTTTCACCAAGTTTTTTTTTTTCACATCTAGCCTTTCCTCAGACCCAACACTTATATAAACGCCGTCGATCAACATACGAGGGATTTTGGACGGGGCAGTACTGAAATCATTTCAAAGAAATTGTAAATTGAATTAAATCGAAAACAAACTACCGAAGATTTTCAAAGAAGTTTAGCAATACTCAAATTTCCTACAGCCGCACAAAAACGATTCGGCTTTGCCAAGACAAAGGAGGATGTTACGGTAATTTGCATATGGACAGAGGAGAGATATCCCTACTATTACACAAAAAGAAGGTGGTCCCAAGGAAGCGAAAAGAGGCTTATACCGTGGCAAAGGCGCGCCGATCGCCACATAGCTAACCCTGACCTGACTGAATCTAACTTTCCGGACCACTGCGGCAGAAGATTTTTGAGAAAAAAAACCTGTCCAATTCTCTAATTTGGAGAGAACTCACATTTAAAAGAAAATTCAAATAAAATTTGATCCTGCAGCGGACGGCCCATTCATAGTTGAGCGTCCAATCGTAACGATTGCATAGCATTTGACACGTTGTGATAATCCAATCTGCACACACGTCTTACGATCGTACGCGTCCAATGTCACGCCATCGTTACGATCGGACGACCGACTATGAACGCGCTCTAATGGATAACTAGGAATGAGTGTTGCTTCACTCTTTAAACGTTGATGAAAGACAAATAAATGGGCGAGTGCATTATAAGATAACTAAGAACTCTTTCCATGGAACTTACTTTAATTGCAGCTGTTAGTTTATCTTTTTCGATTTTTTCTTGTTTCTCACATCGTTGTGCGCTCTTCTCCAATTGCTTCGCAGCGAATTTTAGCTCGAACAAATGCTCTTGAAAGAATACGTATATGGAGCGTAATGAATTCAAGCATTATAGAACTTACTGTCGAGAGACATGGTGCTATCACCTTGACCCAGTTTCGGTTACTGTGGGGAGGTCGCGCTTGGAAGCACGGAACCTAAAGCAGAATTTGTGAACTCACTCAATGTACCACTGAAAAATGAGAATGCATGCTGTTATCAAATAAATCTTAGTCATAAATTACTTCGATAGGAAACTAGATAGCACACAACACAATGGAGAGGAATACGCATTCCACTATAAATCTAAGGCACAACACAAGCACGAGGTCGAATCATGCATGAAAAGAAGAGGAAAGAAAAGAAGAAAAAGAACAACATACGTTTGATGTGTCAAGTCCGTTTAGAACTCTCCTAAATGAGTAAAACATGACACTCACTAAAGATAATTAATTTTTCGAAGGAGAAAGGGGTTGGCAGTGTTCTCACGATGAATCGTTCATGCGAGTGACCAGTTAGAGCGAGGATATCGTAACAAACGGGCAGATCCATGACTATAGAGAATGAAACAAGAATTTCACAAGTGATGAGTCACGAGCGAGAAAAAATGAAGGGCAGGAATGTAGGCGTGGCGAAGCGCAAAAGGTGCACACTATTTCACTGTTGAGCGTTGGAGAGAAGCTTAACTTCATTTGATTACGAAAATATTGATGGAGCCTATCTTAGTAAGAGGGCATGCGGTTCAGAGCGCTCAGCATGTTTAAAACCACGAGTAGCACATCTCCCCAGTATAAAGGTTTAGGATTAAGCCCTAAAATGTAGGAAAAACGCCTGAGTTCGTGAGCAATCTTTCGTTTTCCCCAGGAGACTTCTTCTCTCCATAGACGTTTGGTATAAAAACAAGAGCACACTTGATATGTAAAAAACAAAAGAAATGACGTACATACAAATAAAGCCGATAGCAGCTTGTAATATTAAAGGACTCTTTGAGCCAAATTTGCATTAGAGCACACTGTGTGCCGCAATGCCCGGTCTACGGACAACTGAACTCAGTCTTTAAACCACTCGATTCATATGCTCGCATTCTGCGCTTCTCTCCCTTCTAAACAGCGGCTTAAGATTACTGTGACCTGACACATTCAATTTGCCACAGTGCAGTTGGTTCACCCACTCCGGAGTCTCTCCTCCGTCCAAGTTGTTAGTCCTGAAGCTATCACTTTCCCGCTACTCAGACCATTTTCGCGGCAGAGAACACAGGGGAGAGGGTGCCAAGTGGGTTGGGGGGGGGACCACGCGGCGGCACGGCACTCTGCTCGCCTTGCGCTACCTTGGGCGAGGTTTGTGAAAATTGAAATATACGAGTTTAGGACGTAAGCAAACCAGCCCTTTTGGCACATCGGCTGGGACCGTATGCTGAATGTTGGGGAGGGGATGGTGTCCCCGACGGTGGACGGACCAACTTCAACGCGGTCCTTAGAACCGCCACAATTTGGCGCTTACCTTAGAACTAAGCCTTAAAGAGAGGACGGGTCCGTCCCCTCTCCTAGGCTTAGTCCAAGGGTGAGCAGACCGGTCCTTCTGGCGAAGCTACTGGACCAGCTGCACCACTTGCGTCAGTACTCTCCTATCGTACCAACCGAGTTGAAGTAAACCGTCGACCGTTGGGGACCCCATCCCCTCCCCAACATTCAGCATACGGTCCCAGCCGATGTGCCAAAAGGGCTGGTTTGCTTACGTCCTTTTCGACGGCATGTCAAGTGAGCTGCTCTCACACCGCCCCTCTACCCCCTGGACTCTGCCTACACCCTTGGCCCACGGTATTTCCGAAGTACGCAAACGCGCCAAGCGAGTAGGGTACCGAGCCGCCGCGTGGTCCCCCCCCCCAACCCACTTAGCACCGGGGAGAGTTGAAGTAGTCACGTAATTCCAAAAACTCCAACTCGCCCTTGAGGTTTCACCAAAATTGGTTAGAGCTGCGGGTGGGAATGAATATAACTGTTCAATCATTTGATAAATGAAAAGGACAAAGCATTTGCCGTTGATCAATCTCTTTTTGGGATGCGGCACGCATTCTACTTCCATTTGTACATTCGCAGTGGCGTTTGAATGCGATGTGGCCTATACAATGACTTGCGGGGGCCAGCCGATGTTCAAGTCAGTGTTTTTTATCCTCCCAGACAAGTCTGGTACCAATTGACCGACCCCGGAGGGATGGAAGGCTTGGTTGGCCCGGGCGACTCACGACCCAGGATTTGATCCCCCGGACCGCTTGCGTGGTACGTGACACTTGCCACTACACCACTTCCGCCTCAACGTACAATTACTTAATAAAACTAAAAACCTGCCTCACAGGAGAGAACAAGCATACGGGGCTGTTCCTTTTACAATAAGTAAGATGGGTTTTCCGTTGCAGAACAGACCAGTTGCGAGCATCTCATACCGGATTCAGTGAACTCAGGCAAGTGGTGGAAGTACTTTTTGAAGAAACTGAGTTTATTCTGTAAATTTATAGGCACATTACGATTTGGAACTATGAGCGAAGTCACTTGAAGGAATGAGCTCTTCTTATTGACGGTCTATGAGGCCTTTTTATTGAAGTTAAGAGACCACCTATGAAGAGGAGCACTGCATCTGCTGACAGCGTGAATAGGTTCAGTGGGCTTCTACACCAGCCTTCACTTGGTCACTTACCACAGTCAACATTCTGCTGATATAGCGAATCAGTTCCCTTCAATACGCAGTAAAATTAGCCCAAGCTCTGAGATACGCCACGCAATTGTCGGCCGTTCGGAATTGTCAAGTGGCTAGTACAAACCAACCGTCTAAATCAATCATTCCGTCGGATCAATTGACTTATAACAATCATTCCTCCTATGGAAGCTTTTACGCGGATTATGTAAAAGTGGAGCACTGCTTCAACTGACAACGTCAATAGGTTCAGTGTAGCGGGCCAACCAGGCCCCCATTTAGCATGAGAGTCCTAGAACAGTGCTTGTAGTGAGGAAAAATACGGTACTCGCCATATAACTTCGAAAATTCACGCGAAAAACGCGAATCTCGCGTTTTTTCGTTTTTTCGTTATAACTCGGTTCAAAATTGAGATTTTCAAAATCTGAAAAAAGCATTGAACTCAGCTCGTCGAGTTCTATAAGAATATGCTTTCAACTTTTGAAAAGCCCTATTCAGATTGCGCCATGCACTCGAGAAAAATCCTTCAGAATCTCCATCTGAAAAATGTTGTTATTATGCGTCATATATTACCCTATATGCAACATGATTGTTCTTCAGAGAGGTGGATCTCAGCACTCGCCTCAGAACTCGCCACATACTCAACTCATCGTCTCCATGCATTGTGAATTGATCGATTAATTTTTTTTCCAGATTTCATGACCCCTATTTCATTCTTGACGCGCTGAATGACCTAAACGTGTAATCCTTGCGCTCAACATCTCCTTCTCTCATGCTAAATGGAAATCCTAGATCAATTCTCAGCAGGATAGTAGGCCTATTTGGTGAAATTTTCAAATGTTTGAGGAAGGTTTCGCCGAAATCTGAAGAGGCAGCGAAATCCCTTCACTTTTTTCAGAGCACACTTACCTTGTGTGTAGATGTTAGATGAAGCTACTTGACTGCAGTAGGCGCTTCTCGTGGTGTGGTGGAACATTCGTCATGCCCTTGTGAAAATATCAGGATATTTTGCATTCAAGATGAACTTTCACAACCTGTAATGTACCCGTTAATTAGAGAGGAAACTCAGAGAGCAGGGTCGTAATACGATCTGACATGGGGCTTTCGGAAATCTTGAAAGCATATTCTTATAGAACTCGACGAGCTGAATTCAATGTTTTCTTCAGATTCTGAAAAACTTAATTTTAGACCGAATTGTAATGAAAAAACGAAAGAAACGCGAGATCGCGTTTTTCGCGTGAATTTTCGAAGTTATATGGCGAGTATCGTACAGAAATCGAGAGAGGGAGAGAAGCGCATTCCAAAGTAAACCATCCCTATTTTTATACTGGATATACAAGATAATAAAAATGTTCGGATGAGAAGAGACACAGGTAATGGGTTCGTTAGTCGCTGATGCGCCATGCACTTTCCTTGCACCTTCTCCTTAGATACGAGATCGATGTTCCTAATGGCGTACGCACCAGTCTCTCCCATTGAGTTATTAGTTTTTGAGATTGTAATTGCCAAAAAGGAATATGCCAGCTACAACTGCATCTCCACGGTAACGGCCGAATTGTGCACCTGTACTCATTTCAGGAACAGACTAACAAGAAAATGTTTTTCTATTGATGTCAGCTACCTGCCACCGTAATTACAATAATTATCAATTTTCAGGTCCATTATTTGCCCGAGATTCTCACGTGACACTTCCCCTTTCTCTGCTTCCCTAAGCTCTCGCCCTATCAGTTTTCCTTCTTTAAATAGGCGTCTTTTCCTGGTCCTGGAGGAGTACTTTCTTCCTGGTTCCCCTCCTCCCCCGCCCGTCGCCCTTCCCCGCCTCTTTTCCGCAACCAATCATAATTGAAGTGTTTTTACTCGCGAAATAGTATTCGTGACATTCGAGGAAAAGTACAAATTATCAATAAGCTGCTGTAGGCGGCGACTTGCTTTCCTTCCTCCGCTGAACTGTTTGAGCTTTTCCTATCTTCGTACCTGAATCGCAATCTCGTCACTATTCGATCCTACTAGAGCTGTAGATGAAGCGCCTCATCTACTGAATAACTGTGAATCATCAGGGTTTTATTCTGCGTATGCGTGAATTTTTAAAAGCGCGGAAGTGGTAGTGGCGCGCCTGCGAGCGGTCCGGGGATCAAATCCTGGGTCGTGAGTCGCCCGGGCCAACCAAGCCTTCCATCCCTCCGGGGTCGGTTAATTGGTACCAGACTTGTCTGGGAGGATAAAAACACTGACTTGTACATATCGGCTAGCCCCCGCAAGTCATTGTATAGGCAACATCGCATTCACCTGCGATGTTTACGAAATATTACAGGAGAAATAGAATCGTGAGACTCCTCCCGAGAACGTGATCAATTGTGAATGCATGATCCGCTTCCTATCTTGAACACATGGCTCTATACAAGTGGGGT